CCGGCATGGGGGCCCCAATCCCTCCTTCTCAACCCCACTCTCTCTCCTTTAACTAATACCAACCCCCCTCCCCTCCCCCTTACTAGCCTCCCTCACCCCTCCAGCCCTCGCTGGAGCCAGCCTACCCTTTGCCACCTGAGGACCCCCAGAGACAGCAGGAACGGATTGAACAGCGTGGGCCGGTCCCCGGGCATCCGCCATGAGGTCACCAGTCGGCCCTTGAGTGGGCTCCCAGCCTTGCCCTCTGCTGGCCTCTTGTCTGCCTGTCAAACAGGGTCCAGTGTTGGCCCCAGGTCCCTTTGGCGGGATGGGGGCATCTCTGGCTACAGCCTCCCCTGCCCCTCCGGCCGTGTCTGCCGTGTCCCCGCCCACACCCCACAAAGGCCCCGGTTCCCATCTCCTCTCCCAGAGCTGCGGAGGAAAGAGCTGGTTAGCTTATTCACATTACGGTGTGTTTGACTGACAAGGCTCATAGGGCCCAGCACACTTGGGCATGTGCCCCTCATCACCTAAAGTCAAGCCACAGGTTGCCACCGGGAGGAGGGTGCAGGCAACAGGGGTGCGTTTCCCCCCACATAGTGTTTTCAGATGACTTGCATTAGGTCCCAATGTTAAATAATCAAGAGGTTTAACATACACGACATCTTTCCAGTTCCTCTTGAAATACCTAAAGATATGGAAGCTCTGGGCCCATCTTCCCCATGGCAACAACCATTGGGAGCCAAGGGGCCACACGAGTGCCCCAAGCCCTATTCTCCTCACCTTTGTTACCTGTCTGACCTTCCGAGTGTTAGGTTTTTTTGACCCCAGCTTCAGTGAAGGGAATGAGTCACAGACACCCCTGGCAGAGCCCACAGATGCTTTCGCTTTGGAGTCATCCTTGTTGGGAAAACCAAAGCCCCAGCGAAGGTGAAGGATTCGCCCAGTCACATAGCAGATAATGGCAAAGGTACGACAGCCCAGCTATTCCGATTCCGGAATCTGCAGATTCTCTGGAAGCGGAACTTGAAGCATCAAAGCACAGGTCCGGGAGGACTTTGGGAAGGAGGGCCCCCACCTGCTGCCACACCGCCCATCAGAGCCCTGACCGCATGCAGCTGTCACTAGACTGAGCTCCAGCTCGTCTCTGACCCACATCCAGGCACACCGAAGGTGCTCACTGAGTGTATGTGAGTGAAGGAATAAATGAATGCAGTAGATATCAGTTCTGTCCATTTGAGGCTGCCTAGGGGTGGGTTGAGAGATTTTCTGTGTTGCCAGGACAGGCCCATTTCTTGAAGCCTAGAGGGGTACCCCTGTATTGCAGTTCCTCTTTGCTCACAAAACTCTGGCCCCAGGAAGTGTGAAGAAATAACTGAGAAAGAGGAAGGGCAAAGTTGTCGGAGCCCCCGTCCCTTTAGCAAGCAGAGTCCTCTGACCCTCCTTCAACAGATGGGAAGACCGCCCCACCCCCCACCAGTTACAGCATTGTTGTGTGAGGCCATGTAAGCGAGCAGGGCAGAGCCAGGAAGCAGTGAGTGGGGGCCAGGGGTGCAAGAGAGCACTAGGTGGGGTCCTGAGCCCTGGGTTCTAGTTTGAGTCCTGCCACCGACTGGCTGTGTGACCTGGGATGACTCCCCTGCCTCCATTTCCTCATCTGCCCACTGAGGGGCTGGGTGGAATGCCCCCAGCTCTGACTAGTGGCCAGACCAGACTTGGGGGCTCCAGGCTGCCAGAAAATGCTCCCTGTCACACCTGGCTTTTCAGGACGGGGCACAAGGAACAGCGGGACAGGAAAACACAGCCCCAAACAGTCTGTCTCCTCTTCCCCACCCCCTACTGCCCCGCTGCCCGCAGCTCTGACCTCACCTCTCCAGAGGCTGAGGGTGATGAGAACAGGCTGTTTGGCAGGTCGTGGGGGGGGGCGGGGCAGAGCTCTGCTCGCCAGCTGCAGCCAGGCCTTGGAGCAGCCGCCGTGGTCTCACCCTTGCACATATCTCTCCTGCCTCCAGGACCCTGGAGACGCTTCCGGCCAGGCTGACTGTGGGCACCTCCTCAGCCCTCTTCACCACCTCTCTTGCTGCAGCTCCTGGGAGCCCTACTCTCTCTCTCAGCCAGGCTCGGCTCTCTCGAACCAGAAGGACCTTCCCCTCAGAGACCACCAAGCCCAAACCACCATTGCCCAGGGAAAGGCAGTGACCTTTTCAGGGCAGTCCTGCAAGTTAGAAGCACAGCCCTGGGCTTCTGACCCCAGGACCGTCCACCTTCCTGATTCCCAAGCCAGAAAGGAAGGCTCTGCTGGCCCCTCTCCTCAAGGTTCCATACAGATGACCCCATGTCAGAGCCAGCCTTGGTCTGGACGACCTCAGAGCCCTTCTGAGAAACAGCCTATCTCCAGCCTAATTTCCCTTCCCTCTCCCCACCATGTGCCCATGCCCATGACCCAGCTACCGAGTCTGCCTGCTTCTGGTCAGTCAGGGAGTCTTGGTCTCTGCTTGGCGCTGACTCCTCGGGCTCCTCTGGTTGGAACTGGAGGTAAGAAAGAACACAGCTTAGCCCAGCATGTTCCCTGGGTCCCTCCATCTCTCCAGTTTCTCATCAACCCACTTACCATTCTTCCATGCAGCATCCATCCGTATCAGCATTAGTAGACCATGTATCCATCTAGCCATCCAGCGTCCCTCCTACATTACCCTCTCATCTGCCTAACACCTCCAGCCTGTCACCCATTCACACCTCCATTCTCCAGTGACCCGTCATGTCCCCATCCATCCAACGCCTGCGCATCCTTCCTCCATCCGTCCCTCTACCCATCCCTCCAACGTCTGTCCATTATCCGTCATCTGACATTTATCCATCCATGCAACAAGCATGCACATTCCACGCAACATTCACTCATCCATCCATCCCCTGAGCAACATTTATCATCTGTCCATCACCCAGCTATCTATCCATTATCCACCCCTCTGTCACCCATCCAACATAGCTCTTTTTTTTTTTTGAGTTGGAGTCTCACTCCGTCGCCCAGACTGGAGGGCGGTGGCACGCTCCTGGCCACCGCAGCCTCGACCTGCTGGGCTCGGCGATCCTTCCGCCTCAGCCTTCCGAGTAGCCGGAACTCCAGGCGCGCGCTACCATGCCCGGCTACCAACACATCCCTTGATCATCCATTCCACATACATCATTTATCCATCACCCATTCACACCTCTGTCATCCATCATCTACCCACTGACCCCTCCATTGTCCATGAGGCATGCACTCAAGCATCCTTGTATTCACTGACCACCCATCCACTTAACCGAGCCCCTCCTTTATGTCAGGCTCTGGATCAGGGACCAGAGGTACAGAGATAAAATAAGCACAGCTCCTGCCCCCGTGGAGCTCATGTTTCTCTTGGGGAAATGACAACCCAGTGTGATAGGTGGAGGAAGCAAAACTGCCAAGCCCAGACGGGGAACGTCACCAGCCTAGGGGTGGGGTGAGTAATCAGGGAAGCCTTGTCAGGACGGGGCACCGGGCCTAAGATTTGAATAACGAAAAGGCGTTGGTTGGATGAAGATGGAAGGGAGGAGCATCGTGGGCAATGGGAAAAGGCAGGAACTTGTGGACACAGGTCCCTGCAGCCAACCCAGCATGACCAGAGGCAAATCTGGAGTAGAAAGAAGGGAAGAAGGCCTTGAATGTCATGCCAAAGACTTTCGTAGAGGGGAGCAGTTGGAGCCCTGGCAGGACCTGGTGCATGCCTCTGTTTTGCCATCTGTGAAATGCCTTTCAGCACCTGGTACTCCTGTACCTACCCAGTCACCACCTCTGAGCCTCCCAGGACCCTGGTCCCTGCCACGGAGTAACTCCAGCTGCAGTCTTTCTGACCCCCACCTCCGTTTTGACCAGGCCAGCCTGCAGTACCCCAGCATTCACTGGGGCACAGCATCATCCTCCCTGGGCTGCCCAGGTCTCCCTGCCTCCTCAACAAGACTGCAGCAGCTAGGGGCAGGACCAGGCTCATCCCTGCTCTCTGGTGACTGCATTGACTTGATTAGAAGGTCAACTGGCAAAAGCCATAGGGAGATACAGGGGAGGAGGCTCCCTAGTCCTCCCATGGGCTCAGGAGTTTCACAGCGTGCTGGTTGAAAGCACAGGCTTTGGAGTACACACTTGACCCTTTTGCTCACAATGAGCCTGAACCTCAGTTGCCTCATCTGTAAAACAGGGATAGTGGCAGCTGTCTCGTATCCATGTGAGGCACGTGTGGCCATGTGTGTATAAAGCCCTGCACCTAGGGCCTGGCATACTGCACTCTGATGCCTGGAAACTCTGGTCACCATGGAGGACTTGGCGACAGGCTATGCACCGAGATGTGGAGGACTGGGATGAACAAGCAGGAGCGTCCCCCTCACCCCAGTGGTGCCTGTCAGGGAAGCAGCTGGTCACATTTTACAGGACAGATCAGAGCCAGGAGAGGCTGGGGTCTAGAACCACATGCCATCCTCCTGCTGCGCTCTTGCTAGGCTCCAGGACTCTCTGGCCTCCAGGACCCTCCCTGCCCACCATCTCAGAAAAATGCTCTGTGCTTCAAGGCAGCACCAGCACACCACCTAGGCAGGGGAGGGGTGAGCATCTACTATGCCCCATGCTGGGCCTACTTTGCGCACAGCCCTCATCTAAGCAGCTCAACCCAGTAAGCATTTGTGCAGCTTCTTCTGTGTGTCTGAGAGGGGCTGTGGGGACCAGAGAGGGTAAGTGAGGCTGTCCTGGCTCAGGAACCTGGGTACAGCATGGAGAGGAGACATCACACCGGCTGCAGTCTCAGGCAGAGTCAGTTCTTGTGCTGGACCCACCAGACACCGCATAAACCAGGTGGTGGGGCCAGGATGGGAGCATGCCTTGGCCGGAGCATCTATCTTGCCTGGGTATGCGCACCGAGCATACCCAGGTTTTCACTCCTGTCCCAGCGTTTACTAGCAAGTGGCTTAGCTCTGGGCCTCAGTTTCCTTATCTGTACATAAATAGTGTCTTTCTTATCAGGTTGCTATGGAGACAAAATGGAGAAAGTACATTCAGACCAGGGCTTGGCACATAGTAAATGCTCAAAAATGTGTTGGTCATGATCACCATTGGGCCAGTTTGGTGTGGGGATGCAGGGAGGATGAGGGCTGAGTCTGGAGGGCGTGCAGAAGCCGAGGCCTTTCTAAGGGCACTCGGCTGAGTGGGGCTGGTTTTCTGGCTGCCCCTGGGAGATGGAGCTGACTTACCTCCAGCTCTGGTGAGCTGGGGCCCCCTCCAGGGCTCCTGCTCCCCAGCTGGCCCATCTGCTCCAGGCTGGCCATGTTTGAGGTCTCTGGTCCACTTGTCACTGTGGTCTTTGGCCACTGGGCGGAGGTGCTGGCAGGACTGGGTGGCTGGGCTGGGCTCTGGGGCCAGTGCCCAGGGCTGTGTCCATTGACTAGGGTGGCTTCGGCCAAGCCTTCAGGCTGACTGTATGGCTCTGGCTCCAGGGCATCCGGCTCTGGCCCTGAAGCCTTGGCCGGGTCATGCCCGTGTCCCGCTGGGTCCTTGTGGGGCAGCCGGGCCTGCAAGAGCTCCAGGAGGGCCTCCCAGTCCAGCCTTGGGAGACGGGCCCAGGCCCCCTCTCCAGGTGCCCGAAGAAGGCCCAGCAAGTCCCTCCAGTCAAGCTCGGGTTGCCGCTCAGGGCTGTGCAGGTGTGGACATGCTCCCTCAGCCCCCCAGCCCATAGCAGTGGGCGTCCCAGGCTTCTGGGATTTCGAGAACTCTGCCGGGCCCACCCAGTTCTCTGGGGGGTTCATGGGCTGGTGGGGGCTGGACAGCTCCTGCAGGCTGCCCCAGCCCCTCTGGCCTGGTTTCTCGAGGGGCTCCTCCCAGGCCTCTGGCTGCCCCCAGCTCTCCCCATACTCCCTGGGAGGGGCACCACTTCCTCGCCAGCCCCCAGGGCCCAGACCCTCCTCCTGGCTGCTCCAGCTCATCTCCAGGTGTCTTTGAGGTCCCTGGGACCCTGGCAGTTCCTCCTCACTCTGCCAACCCTTCACAGGCTGTCTTGGGCCTGCTCGGCCACTCTCTGGAGGTCTCTCTGTCCGCAGCTCCCTCTCAGGGGTTCTGGCTGATGTCCTGGGGGGCGGCGAGGACCCCTGGAGCCGCCGGTCCCCCTCAGGCCTCCTCTCAGGACTTCTGGGATGAATGGGCTCTGCTCGGCTCTTCCGGGCCAGTTCTGCCTGTTTGGCAGGGGGCTTGGTCACCTGAGGATGGAGTGAGGGAGTGGGTGAGGCTCTGGACCCAGCTAGGTGGCTCTGCCTGCCTTGGCCAGACCTTGGGAAAGTCAAGGCTATGTCCACACAGCAGCCTGGATCAAAGCTGCCAAAAAGCACATAGGGTCCCGGGGTTCCCTCTTGGATGTCAGCTCTTCCCTCTCTTCCTGGCTTCACCCTCCCTCCAAGATTCTGATGCCAACCTGCGCTGTCAGGTACCAGAATTTCTACCACCAATACACCATTCCTCTGCGGTGGGCCAAGACCTCTGAGAGTTTCCTTAGAGAAACAAACCCCTGCCCTGGGAGAGAGAGCCCTTCAAGTCAGACTGATACATTCAAAGCTTCTCCCTGAAATATTCTCAAGATGGCAGGAGAAGGAAGGGGGATAGCATGGTGGGGGCTGTCTTCAAAGGACATATTTGGGGTCCCTTGCAGTTTGCCAAGAGCTGCTGGCCCTCGGAGAGAGGGGAGAGCTGGACACCTATGACTGGGACTCTGACCCTTTCTGACCTCCCTGCCCAGGACTCCGGCCTAGCTCCTGAGGAGGGGAGAAGCAATGATCACCCCTTGGGGCACCGGGGTCCCAAGCAACTGGCAGTGCTCACCTGCCTGCTGGGGACAGGGCTGGACTGTCTTCGAAGTTGGCTCTGACCTTGGCCGGGCCGCTGTGACCGTCCCTCGTCCCGGGCCTGGAAGGCCCCTGCTGCCTCGGACTTCCTATGAGCAAATGTGACCGCTCCTCTGAGGGCCTTTGGGACTGCTCCACTCCCAGCACCCCAGGCCCTTCACCCTCCCCCAACAGGAGCAAGATCTAGGGATGCACTGCAAGCTTGTTGAAGGGTCCTAAGTGAGGGATGACCCTCTCGGGGCCTCAGTTTCCCCTTCTGAAAAATGGGCATGGGGATTTTGCCTCACAAGACTGTTGTGAAGATGATATAAGAAAAAAAGGAAATAAAGGCAATGGAGTGGGGGAGGGGGTTCCGGCCTTGGTCACACTGCCTCCTGTCTCACTTGGTACTTCCTGTTACCAACCACCACCCCACCAGCAGCCCACAGCCACCCCCAGACAAAGGTTAGACTGGACCTTGTGGGAATTAAGGTTTATTGAGCACCTACTATGTACCAGGCACTGTGCACACATAATCATAACGGCAAACATTTATTGAGCATTTCCTGCGTTCCAGGTGCCAAGCGCTTGTACGCAGGATCTCATTCCATCTCACACAGCCTGTGCAGTGGGCATGAGGGAGGTAGAATGCTCGGGGTTCCCACATTCCATTCTTTCTACCCTTTTCCTGTCCATATTGTAAATTTTGGACAGTGCTAACTAGCAGAATTTCAGCACTTAGCCTTGAAAAGTCCAGGCAATCCTAGCTATTGGCAAAAGAGCTCTCAGCAAGATCAGAAGGAGGAAACATTCTCTCCTCCTGAACAACTCCAGAAAGGCCAACATAAAATGTCCAGGCAAATGTCATTTCTCAGACACCTGGACTTTAGGCACTGTTGCCACTTCCAATGAAGATCATCTCTAACCGGTGTAAAAAGTCTCTACTTCCGAATTAGTTGTCATGCTTAAAAGTTGGGAGCCCTGGTTACAAGTATTGAACATAACATCTCTGTTGAAAGGTAGGAACACCAAACAGAATCTGGGCACATTTCTCCCCTCCCATACATCAGGGGGTCACCATAAAAGACCCAACCACTCTGTGAATATTTGCTTCAATGGGGTTTGGGGATCTGAGTTCATCTAAATTGGCAAATGGAGCCGTCTCTGGGGGCTGAACTGAATGTGGAGGAGAATCCTGAACAGAGCCGCTGTGTGGTGAGCCCAGAGTAAGCTGGCAAAAGGGAGGTAAGAGGAAAGTCCTCTGCTTGGGTCTCTGTGGGACCCGCTGTCCGCAGAAGGATGGCAAAGGAAACACCCTCCCTTGGAAGCTTAGATGGCTCTGCGACTCCCAGAGAGAGCTTAGGAATCATGCTGGAAGGATGCACAGGCTTTGGGCGTTAAAAAACAAAACCAAACAGGGTTGGATTTGTTGTCGTGTCGCTTTGCCAACTTGCCAATGCCATTAGAATGAGATTCATAGAGCACGGTGATTTGATGATTAGCCGTTCTTGCAGCTGGCTGAGAGAGGAACCAAGTTCCTGGGGCAGGTGTGTCTGAGCTTGGGGCTCCCTGGGCAAGTTCAGTGTTTAATTTGAGGTGAGGGGGTTCCTTTGCTCTGTGAGGGCTGAAGGTCTTAGGGTAAGGTTTTCCCAGATCTGGGGCATAGGAGCCTCAGTGAAGCAAAAACCCCAAACATGACTAGGTGGGTGTGCCTCCCAGATGGGGTGGATGGGGAGGCCTAGGGGAAATGCCCAGTGCAGGGGAGCATGGCAAATGTGTGTCCTCTTTCGAATGGATGCATTTTCCACACCAGCTCCAGCTGGCTCGGTGAGCATTCCTTCTGAGAATTCTGCTTCCTTTTCCCCTATATGGAATTGAGAAAAAAGAGTGCGGGACTCAAGGATATCTGAGACTTCAAGAGACCTGGCTTTTCTGATGCTGAAAACAGCGTCTCCTCGGCCGCCTGTTCCTGAGGGTTGATGTGGCTGCACAGGGATGGCAAGGGAAACGCATTTCCCTTGGAAGCTTACACGGGCTCTTTGATTTCCAGAGAGAGTTAAAGGACCAAAGGCGTCAAGTCTGGCAAATCCATTGAAGACTCTTTTTTTAATTCAAAAGACCACGGAATGCCTATGTGACTCTACGATAATGGATTCCAAAGGCATCTAGGGAAAAAAAAAATAAGACATCAAGCCAAAACTCCTAATGCTTTGATGCGGTAGCCCTTTGAGAAAAATTCTCCAGGCTCAGACAATGCTTAGACAGAGTAGGTGCTCAATAAATACATATCGGATGAATAATGGGAGAAAAGTACAAGCCTACAGCCACCCACTCATAAATTCCAGTCTGTGCATTTTTCATCTTTAGAGCATAAATGGTTTTCTATTTGGAAAAGGTGCTGTGTAAGAGGAGAAAATGGAATCACTCAGTAGAATTATGAAACTATGGTTAAAAGGTAAATAATCTACTTCAAAGAGAGTAGAATAAAATGTATAGAAGTAATTAAAATGGTTAATAAAAGTGTTAAAATATTCCTGATTTTTTTTTTGAGTCAGGGTCCTGCTCTGTCACCCAGGCTAGAAGGCAGTGGCACAATCACAGCTCACTGTAACTGCAAACTGCTGAATTTGAGCAGTCTTGCTTCAGCCTCCCAAGTAGTTGGGACTCATAGATGCATGCCACCATGCCCAGCTTTTTTGTAGAGATGGTGTCTCACTGTGTCGCCTAAGCTGGTCTTGAACTCCTGACCACAAGCTATCCTCTCACCTCAGCCTCCCAAAATGCTAGGATTACAGATGTGAACCACTACACCTGGCCTCTGATTTCTGTTATAAACACTTTATGTCTCTAAAAGTTATCCTGGAAAAAAAAAAGAAAGAAAAAAGTTAACTTTGGCTTAAAGACTTTAGTGTCCCTGCTGAGTTATTAGCTAAGTCAGAGCTATGCAAGTTGACATCAGACCAAAAACAGTAATCATAAAAAGGTCAGAGGTACTGAGGATATTTAGGGCACTGAAACCATGCCATATTATACTACAATGGTGGATATGAGTCATTATATACTCATTCAAACCCATAGACTGTCCAACACCAAGAGAAACCCTAAACTATGAACTTTGGGTGATTTGTCAATGTAGGTTCATGGATTTGTCACAAATGTTCCACTCTAGTGTGGGGCAGTGATCAAGGAATTAAGGTTGTGCCTGGAACTTTCTGTACTTTCTGCTCAATTTTGCTATGAGCCTAAAATTGTTCTTTAAAAAAAAAAAAAGTATTTTTTAAGGCCAAAGAAAGAACTACACTAATGCTGAAGACCACATGATTGTCACCTGGATATGAAGTGGATCATGCTTATTGGAAAAGGAAATTTGAAGAATAACAGTTTAGGTTTCTCAGGCAGATTCAAATCTAGAAAAGTTGCCTAAGGCAGCAAAGACAGGGATTTTAGATACAAGATAGTACCTGCCCCTTCAGAGTAATGGAGATGTTCTAAAATTAGATTGTGGTGACGGTTATACAACTGGTCAGTATACTAAAATTCACTGAATTCAACACTGAAGGTTTGGAGGCTTCCAGACCAATTTTTTGTTGTTCTTTGGACCCTAACTCATGAAATTCTAGCTCTGGTCTTTGAAAACTCCAAGGGAGGAATTGCTGGGAAAAGAAATCTCGGCTAGACCAGGAGGAAATGTTCCCCCTCTGGTGGTATGGTACTGCTGACCAAGGAGGCTCACAAGACACCTGGACTTGAGGCATGGTTGTCATGTCACAGGAAAGTCACACTTAATCTCGAAAAACGCATAATTCTGTTTTTCTCTGGCCACACATTTTATATTGCCATCTGTTTTCTGAAATACATAGGGAGACCCATGAGTTTTTATTCTACTGAAGCAGAAAAGAATCATGGGCACATTCTTCTACCTCATGCAGGGGAGAAACAAAACAAACTCATGAGTCTGGATCAAACAGTGTTTGAGAATTCAACCTCATTTAAATGAATGTGCTAATGTTCTCCTCCATTTTACAGAAGAGGAAACTGAGGCTCAGGTAGGTTAAATCACTTTACCAGGTTGGGAAGTGGCTTTGACCCAGGATTTGAACTCAGCCTGCCTGACTCTGTTCTTTGCTCTTAACTACTACGTCGAAACAGAGAGAGAGAGAGTGACTTGTCACACAGCCAGGAAGCGGCAGGGCAGGGGGATTTGAGTGCTTTCTTCTGGCAACCTAGCCCTGAGAACCTTCCACCTGTCTTGCTGCCACGCCTCCTCCCCGGCCCTCCTAGCTGACCGGCCCTGGGCTCACCTGCGCTCTTGCCCGAAGAGGCGCTCCACCTCTGCACGGCCAGGGCTGCGGGTGCGGCCCCCGTTGCTGCACTGGGCCTGGGGCCCTGGCTCCCTCTGGGCCAGCCTCCTGGGTGGGGGCAGGTCGGCCAGCACGGTGTACTCTTCCCTCTCCAAGTTGTGCCTGGGCTCCCCAGGGGGCGCCGAGCCCCGGGAGCCCCCGGAGCTGCCCGGCGGAGGCGAGGGTGCCAGGAGCACTAGGTCACTGGGCGGGTGGCGGGGTGGGGAGGAGGCTCGAGGTGCATCCCGGTGCCCGATGCATACTTGGGGGGTCGGCACCGGGGAGCCATGCAGAGAGTCTGTGGAGGGGGCCAGGCTCTCCATACTGGCCCCGGGGGGATCCTGGAAGAAGAGGGATGGCTCGGGAGCCTGGCGTGGTGGGGACGAGAAGGAGGGTGCATCCCGGTGCCCGATGCACACGGGGGTGGGGATGTGGAGGGGCTCATGCAGAGAGTCTGTGGAAGGAACGAGGCTCTCAGTGCTGGCCCTGGGGAGATCCTGGAACAAGAGGGAGGGCTCTGGGGCCTGGCGTGGTGGGGAGGAGGCCCGGGGTGCGTCTCGGTGCCCAATGCACACAGCTGGGGGGAACTGTGGGGGTTCATGCTGAGAGGACTGATTCTCAGCATCCGGTGTGTCTGGGAGGAAGGGGAAGGGGTCAAACTGGGTGTGGCGGGGGGGCGAAGACGCCCGTGGGGCATCGCGGGGTCCAATGCACACGGCAGGCGGCATGTAGGGGGGGTCGTGGTGGGGCGAGTCACTCTCGGCCGCGCGAGGGTCTGGGAAGAAGGGGAAGGGGTCATGCTGCAGATAGCGAGGGGGCGAGGAGGCTCGAGGGGCATCCCGGTGCCCGATGCACACGGCACACGGAGGCTGGGAGGGCTCAGGGGACTGGAGAGCACCTCTGGTGGCGGGGTGCAGAGGCGAAGAAGTCCGAGAGGCACTCTGGTGGCCTGGGTTATGGGAGGAGGAGGCAGTCCGGGATGGCGAGTTGTGCTGGGTGGGGCCAGAGGGCTGTGGTGGGTCACGCTGGGCTGGCCTGGTGGGGGATGAGGGCTGAGGCCTGTCACCTTGGGTTGGCCGGAGGGCAATCGAGGCCCAGGGAACCTCACTTTGCTTGGAGCGAGATGGGGACGAGGTTCGAGGGCCGTCGGTCTGAGTGGGTCGGAGGGGAAAGGAGGCCCAGGGGATGTCTTTGTTAGTACGATGGGGAGAGGAATTCCGGGGATTGTTCCGTTGAGCGGAGCGGTGGGGAGATGATGGTCTCGGCTTGTCCTTTTGGGTGCAGCATTGGGGGGTGGAGGTTCCAGGGTTGTTACGTGAAAAGGAAGCAGAGTGTGGGTTGTCCCGTTGGGTACAAACAGATCTGAGGTGATCCCACTTGGTACTCGAGGTTCTAGGATTGTCTCGTTGGGTAGAAGAGGCTCTGAGGGTGTTCTGTTGGATACAAGAAGTTCTGGGATTTTCCCGTTGGGTGGTTCTGTTGGGAGAGGAAGCTCCGGGGTTGTCCCGTTGGGCACAGGATGTCCTGGAGTTGTCCCGTTGGGTGGCTCTGTTGGGAGAAGAGGTTCTGGGGTTATCCTGTTGGGAGGCTCTGTTGGGAGAGGAGGATCTGGGGTTGTTCCGTTGAGCACAGGATGTCCTGGAGTTGTCCCGGTGGGTGGCTCTGTTGGGAGAAGGGGCTCTGGGGTTGTCCCACTGGGAGGCTCTGTTGGGAGAGGAGGATCTGGGGTTGTCCTGTTGGGCACAGGATGTCCTGGAGTTGTCCCGTTGGGTGGCTCTGTTAGGAGAAGAGGCTCTGGGGTTACCCTGTTGGGAGGCTTTGTTGGGAGAGGAGGATCTGGGGTTGTCCCGTTGGGCACAGGATGTCCTGGAGTTGTCCCGCTGGGTGGCTCTGTTAGGAGAAGAGGCTCTGGGGTTACCCTGTTGGGAGGCTTTGTTGGGAGAGGAGGATCTGGGGTTGTCCCGTTGGGCACAGGATGTCCTGGAGTTGTCCTGTTGGGTGACTCTGTTAGGAGAAGAGGCTCCGGGGTTACCCTGTTGGGAGGCTTTGTTGGGAGAGGAGGATCTGGGGTTGTTCCGTTGGGCACAGGATGTCCTGGAGTTGTCCCGTTGGGTGGCTCTGTTAGGAGAAGAGGCTCTGGGGTTATCCCGTTGGGAAGCTTTGTTGGGAGAGGAGGATCTGGGGTTGTTCCGTTGAGCACAGGATGTTCTGGAGTTGTCCCGCTGGGAGGCTCTGTTGGGAGAGGAGGATCTGGGGTTATCCTGTTGGGAGGCTTTGTTGGGAGAGGAAGATATAGGGTTGTTCCGTTGTGTAGCTCTGTTGGGAGAGGAGGCTCTGGGGTTGTCCCGTTGGGCACAGGTTGTTCTCGGGTTGTCCCGCTGAGGAGCACAAGTAGGAATAGAAGTTTGGAGGTTGTCCTGTTGGGTAGAAGCAGTCCTGGGGTTGTCTTGCTGGGTGGCCCTGGGGGGAGAGGAAAGTTGAAGACTGTTTCGCTGGGTGGAAGAGGCTCTGGGGTGATCCCGCTGGGGGCCTCTGGAGGGAGAGGAAGATCTGGAGGTGTTCCGCTGTGTGGATGAGGCCCTGGGCGTGTCCCGTTGGGTGGATGATGTCCTGGCGTTGTCCCTTTGAGTGGTTCGGGGGGGAGAGGAGGCTCGGGGAGCGTCACGCTGTGTGGAGGCGGCCTGGGCGGTGTCCCTTTGGGTAGAGGCGCTTCGAGGTCCAGTCTGCGGTGTGGTGGAGGAAGCCTGGGTTAGTGCTGCCCGGTGCCGCTCCAAGGAGAAGTACCCACTTTCTCCCCGGAGCTTAGCCCAGTGCTGGCCTGCACTCTGGCCCCCATTGCCGGCATCTGGAGAAAGAAGAGGGAGGTTCCAGGTAAGGGGAGGGGTGCAGCCAACTCTCACACCTTACCTTTCTTTGTCCCCTGAGACCAATGATGAGGGCAAATCCCACAACCTCTTAGAGATCTCACTGTCCATACTAAGTGACCCCACCTCTCTGAGCAAGGTTGATTTGACGGGACTTGGACTCCTCTCAAGCTGAGGCTGGGAATTTTAAATCAAGACCCAGACTGACTCAGTCAATAGGAAGTGGGTTTCAGAGCTGGGGACCACACAGTCTGGGGGCTGCAAACAAGTCAGAAAAGAAACAAACTCATAGAAAATGGTTTTGACAGTAGCCCGTGTAATCCCAGGGAGGGAGGAAGGGGTGGACCCAGAGGCAGGAACCTATCAACTTTCCATTCTCAGTTCTACTTCCTGTAGTCGGATTCTGAGAAATTCTCCCAATTTCCTCTAATGAGCTCTGGAAAGCTCCCATGGCTTGGCCCCAAGTGTCCCTACCCCAGAGGCTCCTCCCAGGGCTGCCACGAGAGATGGACCACCTTTTGTGGATCAGTAGCTGGGAGACTCCTAGAAATGCAGTCTCAGGCCCGCCCCAGATTCCTGCTTCAGATTCTGCATTTACCCTGGGTGACTCATATGCACCACAGTCTCAGAACTGCTCAGAAGTGCTTGCCCAAGGGATTCAACTGCCTGCACTTAACAGGGACCCCTTCACAACTCCCAGCCCCATGGGGGGGCGCCATGACCTTGGTGTCACTCTCCACTTCATCCCTCAGCCACTGAGTAGATGTTAGCCACCAGCTATGAGCATGTCCCTGGGCTGGTGCTTCCAGAGAGAAGAAGAGGGTACTGTGGCCTCATCTTGAAGAAACACAATGGCCTTCATGCTTGAGATCCCCTCTCTCCTCCTTCCTAGCCTCTGTCCCTTCTAGTCTCTCTGGACTGGTGTCACTGAAGTCTGAGTTTCCAGCTACCTAGCCAAGATCTGAGCACATGACAGCACTCAGGATTTGCAGTGTTGTTGCCTGATGGGCCCATGTCCTGCAGTCATCCTAGAATCCATTCCATATCTACCGGCTTCTCTGTCTCCATCCCTCCTTTCAAGCCACCGTCATTTCTATCCTGGATGGCTGCAGTAGCCCCCTCAATATGTGCATCCTGGCTTAATGTCATCACTCTATCCAGGGAGACCCTTTCCAACGGCAAAGGTAAGTAGATCACCCTGCTCAGGACCCTTCAGGGGACGACAAGGAGAGACGGGGAAGCTGTCACAGCCTGGAGGAGACAGAGGAAATAGGGAGGACTAATGCAATGTGGGATCCTGGAGCAGAAACAGGATATTAGTAGAAAAACTGGTGAATACCAATCAAGCCTGTAGCTTAGTTAACAATATTGTACCAATGTTAATTTCTTAATATTGATAATTGTACTGTGCTTATATATGATGCTAATGTTAGGGAACCTGGGCAAGGGTTATGATGGAAACTCTCTATACAATCTTTGCAACTCTTCTGTAAATATAAGATTCTTTCTTTTTTTTTTTTTTTGAGTTGGAGTCTCACTCTGTCGCCCAGACTGGAGTGCAGTGGCCGCTCCTGGCCACCGCAGCCTCGACCTGCTGGACTCCGGTGATCCTTCCACCTCAGCCTTCCAAGTAGCTGGAACTACAGGCACACGCTCCCACGCCCGGCTAATTTTTTTGATTTATTGTAGAGATGAGGGCTTGCCAAGTTGCTCAGGCGGGTCTCAAACCCACAGGCTCAGGGAATCCACTCACCTCAGCCTCCCAAAGCACGGGATTACAGGCTGAGCCACCGAGCCTGGCTATAAGATGATTTCAAAGCAAAACATTTTTATTTTATTTTTTGTAAAGATGGAGTCTCACTATGTTGCCCAGGCTGGTCTTGAATACCTGGCCTCAAGGGATCCTCCCACCTTGGCCTCCCAAAATGCTGGGATTACAGGCATGAGCCACTGACTGAAAAAAGTTAAAACAAACAAACAAACAAACCAGTTAGGCATGGTGGCTTAAGCCTGGAATCCCAGCACTTTGGGAGGCCAAGGTGAGAGGATTGCGTGAGCCTGCAAGTTTGAGACCCACCCGGGCAACTTGATGAGACCTCATTTCTCTACAATAACAATCAAAAAAATTACCCGGGTATGGCCAAGTAGTTCCAGCTACTTGGAAGGCTGAGGCAGAAGGATCGCCTGAGCCCAGCAGGTAGACACTGGGGTGGCCGTGAGAGTGCCACTGCACTCCAACCTGGGCGACAGAGTGAGACTTCAACTAAAACACCAACAACAACAACAACCAGGGGTTCCCAACTGCACTTGGAATCAATCCAGGATTTCCTAGGGCCAGCAAAGCTCTGTGGAGTCTGATCTCTGCACTTCGCAAACTGGAAGATGCCCAGAAAGAGAGATGTCAAGGAGTCCCCAGTATAGTTGACTAAATCCTCTTAGGCCTTGGCCTATGGCCTGCAATTTAGGAACCTGCCAGCAGGTGGACAGCAGTGACAGGCTCTGATCAAGTAGGTCACATAGGGAGGCTCCCCAGCTCCACTGCCCAGAGAGTTTAAGAGCAAGTAAGAAGCCGGGCTTGGTGGCTCAGCCTGTAATCCTGCGCCTTGGGAGGTTGAGGTAAGTGAATTGCCTGAGCCCGTGGGTTCGAGACTCGCCTGGGCAACTTGGTGAGACCTCATCTCTACAATAAATAAAAAAACTAGCCGGATGTGGTAGCGCGCGCCTATATTTCCAGCTACTTGGAAGACTGAGGCGGAAGGATCGCCGGAGCCCGGCAAGTCGAGGCTGC